CGGACCGTGTAGATCAGCGGAAGCACGAGTTGGAGATGGACGAGAGATGGGCCAAGAGGGCCTGCCGCGGGGTAAGTGGGGAAGGGCCCTGAGATGCCGGTGTTGGGGGAGTTTAGACACCAAACTGCTGCCCCAGTTTGAGCGGGGGGGGATATCGATGCTGACCTCACAGCCTGTGAGAAGGCTTGTGAACTGAACCAGATTGACCGCGCAGACAGGCTTCGCTGTCTGACCCCCGGGCTGGGTCCCAAAGCCATACAGGCGTTCAGCCAAATGGATGGTGTTGAGACGGGGGACTATGACCTGTTCAAACAGGCTTTGCTGCTGAAGTTTGAACTGACCCCCGAGGCGTACAGGAAACGATTCCGGGGTGTACACAAAACCCCAGGTGTCTCTTACTAGGAGGTCGCCAACTTGCTGGGGGAATATCTTCACAAGTGGGGGAAGGGCGCAGGGGCCACTACCGCAGAGGACGTGTATCACCTGGTGGGGTTGGAGCAGCTGTATGACATCTGCCCTCCGGACCTTAAGAAGTGGCTAGTGGACCGGAAGCCCAAGGATCTGCGCAGTGCAGGGGCGCTGGCAGATGAGTTCGTGGACAGCAAATAGGGGGCAGGAGGTAGACCCACCTCGGGGCCTCAGAAGGGGAGTCACCCCGAGCCCTCTCCAAGGTGGGACTTGAGGGACCTGAAATGTAATTACTGTGGCCAAAAGGGACACAAGGTGGCACAGCGCCTGGAGATGAAGGAAATGGCAGTCAAGCGGTGCGGTGTCAATTGGGTGGAAGCCCCTGAGAGCGGGCACCACTGGTCTAAGGGGGTGCAGTCGAGAGGGCTGCGCCAGGGGGAAGGCGAGTGCCAATGTTATAGCCGATGCTATACCACGGGGCGGGGGCCTGAACTTCCCCAGGTCACTGGCTAAGTGACCCTGCTCCGTTCAGCCTCGAAGGAGGGAGAGATGTGACGAAGTGGGGGATTTTCTTGTATTTTTTCTGCTTTTCGGTGGGGTTTCAATGGTTTGCATGCGGAGGGGGTGGGACTCAGTGTCTCTGGGTGTTACTGGTTTAACGAGTTGAGGGGAGAGGGAGTTTGTTGTTACAGAGGACCAGAGAGGGAACGTGGGACCCCAGCCAATGGCCTGGAGGATGGACACCCCAGCGACCGGTGACCTGGCGACCGGACCCGGAGACCCAGCTCAGGAGACGCAGCCGGTTCTGGCCAGTGGGCGGACAATGGGCTGCAGAGTGAGGACCCAGTGACCTGACCAGCCGGTTCCAGCCAGAGGACAGAAGCGAGGAGAGGAGGCCCCGGTTTTACGACCCTGTTTACCTGGAGAGAAGACAATGGACAGAGGTGGGGCCTGGGCCGGTGATCTCAGATGCCCAGCTGGGAGCAGGGGGGCTCTGGGCTGGAGAGGGGGAGCAGGCAGAGCCCACCTGGATGCAGAGAGACTGGGATGTGCTGGGCTGAGGGAGGCCAGGCCTGAGGCCCTGAGAGTTTCCTGTGCTGTGTTCAACTCTCAATAAACCTCCTGTTTCATGCTGGCTGAGAGTCACTCCGGTCTAGAGAACGGGGTTGCATCAACCCCTTCGGGGGTGGAGGCCCCGGGGGTCCAGAGCGAAGGGACTCCCTGAGGGGGCCCACGGCAGAGACAGACGTGCTAAGGCTCAGAGAGGTGCGGCTCCAGGAGGTGGAGGGGCCTGACCCCGAGAGAGAGGGGACCCCCGAGAAGGGCTGTCGCACTGAAACGGGCACCCCCCACGGATTGCACGGGGCCAAGAGTGGGCATGATCTGTGAGTCTGTGACAACTTGACATTGGCCCTAGGACTCCCCAGTGTGAGAGGAAAGCAGCTGCAGGGAGCATAGGGACCCCTGGCACCACGCTGGGGCATTGGGGTCAGCGCTGCCTGGGGGCAGGGACAGCGAGTGTCCCCTACTGTGCCCCCCCCTGCTCATTTGTTCACTCCAGGTCTCCCACCCAAGGAGCAGCCTGGCCTCTACTTGTTTAACTTGTGACCAGGGGCTCCCTGCTCTGCACAGACACACTCACTGCTCAGCAGGGTCTGGCCCCGGCGCGGCTCTTTGGGGAACGTTCCCCCTTCCCCTCTGTGCCTGGCGCCCCCCCTGGGAGGGGTCAGCCCCCGAGTCCCTGTGGCTGGTGCCCCAAACCTCAGCACCTTCCCCATGATCCCTCTACTGCCCCTGAACCAGCCTCCGCTCTGCCCCCTCCCTGCCCCAGGGGTGAGAGACCCTCTTCCCTGCAGCCCCCACCCAAATCTGGCTACCCCCCTTGCCCCATCAGCCTCCCATTGTCCCCTCCCTGGGGGTGGGAGCCGGGCACTATGGGGGTGAAGCCGCCCCCCAGGCCCAGGTGTCCCAGCCCCAGCCCCCGCCCCGCCCGTACCTGTCACCGCCCCGGCGCCCGGCAGGGCCAGCAGGGTGAGCA